GGCATTCGCTCTCATGACTGTGTAAAACAATCTGGATTATTAGTTCCACCTTTTAATTTCTTAGCTCTGATGCCTTTAACTGTGAGCTGCATGCAGAGCATATGTAGAGGCTTAAGGTAAGCAATAAACTCAGGCCTTTTCAGATTTCAGAAGAGGTTCTACAGATTTAAATTCAATCTGAGTCAGCTCAAGTTCAATCACCTAAGACAGGTAATTAAGAGAGATAAGTTAAACTAGCCTCATTTCATCCCTTAATGCACAGCAGCATCACATTACCAATGAAATGTTGCTGGTTTAGTCAGCTGTGTCTGCTCTGAAGGATTCCAAGGTTTAAGTGTAAAATAAAACTTAAAATAAAAGCTTGGATTAGATGTGAGGGGAATGGAAATGTTTTGTTGGGTCATTCTTGGGGTTTGTAACAGTGTGGAATTTTCTATGTACAGTATCGAGACTTCTGGTAAATACAGTAGATGAATAAAAATGTCACAGCTTAAAAAAATCATAGTACAACCTATGATGTCTCTATGGGAGATGTCTTACATTGGTTTTCATTTGCTTATTTAAATTTTGGATGTTGCCAAATATTGGGCATTGGTTATTGTGTTACAAAATGCATTTCTAATCCAACTTTCCAATGTCAATTTCTTAAGGATCCCAAATAAAGCCACAAAGTGAACCGGTTATTCATATTTTTTTGTCTGACATGGTAAAATGCTTCATACCTATACAGGTTTTTTTTGGATGTTGGTTTGTGGAGAAGTACTAGGAAACTGCAGTTTTTACATGTTGATTGTATTTGTATTGTATTTTTTCTATTGTATTTGTGAGATACAGTAGTCATGTCTTATTCAAACATTCAGTTCTCCATACTCATGCCAAAGCACTTGCTTGAGTTTGCATTGAAATTTAGTGGAGCTTAATTCTGAAAAAAATATTGAATAAAGAAAATGTTTTTTTACTGTTTTCTGCACATCTCTATTAACTATTATGTTAACAATTGCATGTTCAGTTATGAACATTCAGAACAAAACATAAATAACAGATACTATGATGAAGCAAATCCCAACAATCACAATATAACTTTTTAGAACAGATTTGTATAGATGAGCAGACTGCAACTTAATTACTTTATTTAAACATGTAAATTGAAAGAGTATGTTGATGTATTCTGAAAAGGAATGCTGACCTTGACAATACAAAAATGATCATTCAAAAACAGAGTGGAGGTGTAGTAACTCATTAGATTAATTGTGTTTAGCTTAAGACATAACAGAGTACAAAGCATGTCAATTGAAAACTTGTAGGAATACAGCATGCGCATCACAGGAAAGGCAGATGTAGATGTAATTTCAAGGTGACTGACTACATGTCTGTTCCAAAATGCCATTAGAGGCTTGTCATTAAATAAAAGGCAATACTTAATTTTAATTATAAGGATATGAAAAAAAAATCAAATAAGATCAAACTCTTTTACAAGACATTTTCTGTGTATCCAGCTTCATAAGCTAAAAAGTGATAATTTCTCATAGTATTCAAACAATAATTGTGATGCCATGGGACATGTCCAATGTTTACAGGCAGGCACACCCTTCACAGACTGTTGGGAAACCTTTTCACCTTTTTTACTCCACCTTATACACACTCTCCTCCGAGAGGAGAGGCCGCCTCATCAGGACAACTAGAACTGAGGAGTGTCTTACTCTTTCTCCAAGCCTCCGGCTCACAGACTCTCTGGCCCAGAGTCTCATACTCATACACACCACCATCCTTTCATGATCTCCTCCAAGAAGTCATCTTGAGGTTAATTCATGTCGCTGATACCCATAAACCTCAGCTCTGCGTCTTCGTTGTCTCTTAAGCTAATCCCTTTCAAGGAGAAGCAGTGGAACTTACCCATTCACGTTTGGTTGGACCAACTCTATGGTTTCCATATCTTACAGGCGGGCCAACATGGCACTGGCCAAGGCTGCTGCTCATCGTGATACTTTCTGCACTTCGATGTCTCATAATCTCTAGAATCCTCATTGCTCCTAGACACCATACACGAAGCCTCCTGCTTGTTCTTTTATTTGGAGCCTCTTGCTCCCTCAATGTCACAGACATCTCACTTGGAGCCTCCTGTTCTTCTCTCTCTTCTCTCCCAGAGCCTCCCACTCCTCTACTCACAGCTCTCTTGGAAGGGCTACTGGCTCACTCACTTTCTACCTTTCAGCCCTCAGACCTCCAGGACTGCTTCCAGATGGGGATATCTCTACCTTGCGCCACCAGGCTGGGTCTTACAATCACAACACTAATAACACTCTCCAGCGCCTCAACCTCACGCCCAGACTCATAACACTCATTTCACAATCTGCTGTCTCCTCATTCTCGCATCACAGACTGTTCACTTGCATCTGCCGGCACACTTCTCTCTCATGCCCAGCAACTACTACCTTTACTCGCAACTCACACTTTGTCAGAGGCCTGCAGCTAGTTAGACCCTTTCTCCAACCTCATGTTTTGTATTGACAGGGTGAAGGTCCCTCTATCACACTCCTACTTTCTGGAGCCCAGCCTCAACATCTTTACACTAAAACTCTCAGAGACAGCTTCTGTTGCACATTCCCTATGCCCAAACTTCACTGTCTTCTCACATGTACATGTAATGTAATTGCCATTAGAGGCTTTTCATCAAATAGCATTGGCCCTCACACTGTCACCACAGAATGCCTACTCCCAGAAGTTAACAGCCAGATAGACCCAATACCTCGTATTGCCATGGGGATTGCACACCTACTCTCAGCTCCATCCCGCCGGTTCGTCCCGCAACACCAGGGCATGAAACCGGGTCTCCGGAGTAGCGATTCTTTACCTCCCCAACCCAGGCGGCTGAGATCCCTGCTACGTGCAGGGAGGGCGATGACGTCACCGTGCCCAGACTAGCTCTGCTACATATACAATACAATCAATGTCACTGCCGACAACTAAATACCATGGAATACCAAGAGGCGGAATATTTTGTTTAAATAATCTTGCATTATTTAACAACTGTATGAATAGCATTATACATGCTTTTTAGCCTGACGTTTTACATAGAAATCTACTTTTAATCATATGTTGTTGCCAATGGTTAAGCAAAATCTAATTGAATCAGTGTTCATGTTACTTAAACACTGATTACTTACTTGAACCTTGATTAATTTACCATTCATGAATGTGATACAGGGGCATCACAGTAGCATAGTGGTTGTCATTGCTGCCTCACAGCATTGGGGCCCTGCGTTCAGTTTCTGGGGTGCTGTCTGCATGGCGGATGTATATTCTCCCCATGTGAAAATGGATGGATGGATGTGATACAGTCTATTGACTTTTGCATAAGTACTGAATCACCTTATTAGTGAGAGAGTTCAATGAGCACAGGTAACCTATTGAATATCATGCTTGGTGAAAATCAGAGAAGATGCCTACAGTACATGTTCTGTTTATTAGGAGAACAATGCATTTGTGCCATTGGTATGTTTGGTTACTCACAGTCAATATTCACTTCACTTCATTTTCTGCAGGACGACAGGTTCTCATACTGCACACATAAAAACAGATTTTTGTTCAATTTAAATTGTAAACAGTTATGAGATGGTTTGGGATGGCATGTGGCATGTAGAATTCAGAGCCAAGTGAAGAGGAACATTTACCAGAGAAATTAGACAAAATCCGAAACACATAAAGCATGCATCACTATGACTATTACACAGTGCACAAGTAGACTATAACGAGTAGATCTCTTGTTGATCAACCAAGTTGATAACAAATCATTATAAGCATAATCAATTTCTAATTGTATCTCTGATATGTACAGTATATGCAAAACATTTTCAGTGTAACTGGTACAAATAAGATTTTGTCATTTTTTTATTACTGTGGATTAAGACTCTTATACAGTAAGTACTTTCTTTTCATGCACAGAATATACAGAATGTAGTAAATTGTATAGCATATTCTTTATACTGTATACTGCTATGCAGAAGTCTCAAAGACTTTGCATTGTCCTGTTAATTCACTTAATGTTTTTCACTTTTTATGCATGAATATACTTCTATGGCCAACATCCATTTAGGAAATTCAGTTAATCCTGTGGGATCTTTATTCTGTAGTTCAAACATACGGTAACTCCAAAATAATCACAAATAACCATTTATTAATAGAAGTGCAAAAAGGAAGAAATGATGTTAATGGCAATGAGTTAATTAGATTTGACAGATGAATCTGATGGAATAACCACTGCATCATTACAAATTGCTTGCCTAAGTACAGTTACTGTATACCTTGAGTTCATATATTTTTCATGCATTCTGATTATTGTCAGTTAAAGATAACTAAATCACAAGCTTGATTTTTTTGTCATCTCAAATAATGTATTAATTGCTGATAAGTTTACGAAACAAATAGAACACATAGTAGTGGGCTAGTGGTCATAAATAAATTGTTGATAGTCATAGCATACATATATGGTAACTGATGATTGTTTTCAATGCCTAAGTCTTTTGCACTGTAGTATATACTGTATAGTACACTACTGTAATATTGTACCTGTTGTCTGACATATTCCATTCAATATGATCCGAGTATTTTATTGTTTTGAGTTGAATACACATCCCAGTGAGCCTATATTTGATAAAGCTATTAGAAAATGAATGGATGGACAGACGTTTAAACCTAGTGTTTAATGGATTGACCAGTATATCTGTTAATATAATACTGAACAGTATTGCACTGTACATGTCTTAATGCTTTTGACTTAAAATGTCCTGCTGTGAATTTATGCATTTTAAAATGAATGTTTATGAATATTTAAAAGACTTTTAGTGCTTAGGAGATACATTTTCTTTAGGCAAAAGTTCTGCTTTTATGAATAAATGCTTTATTTAGTTCAGTTAACAATACTAAAGTATACTATAACTACTTTGAAAAAGAAATTAAAAGGCAGCATATGCCTAATTCATTTTCATTTCTTTTGTTCACAGGAACCCGGACAAAGGAATTCAGTTCCTCATCTCTCGGGGCTTTATTCCGGACACTCCCATTGGTGTGGCACACTTCCTATTACAGAGGAAAGGGCTGAGCCGCCAAATGATTGGCGAATTCCTGGGCAACAGCAAGAAACAATTCAACAGAGATGTTCTAGAGTGAGTACAGTAATAATGAAGGAGAGTTCTCAGTTCTCTAAAAAAAACGTGTTATGAATCATAGCTTCCTTTTAACTACATCCAAACATTGAATATTCAAAAGTTTTTTTTTTTGCTTTGCTGCAGTATCTCGGTCTTAGACATTCTAAGCTTTCGCATCCCCATCAAAAAATAAAGTGCCTTCTCCAGGAGTAGGAAAAGCTCTGAGTATAGAACACAAGAAACATGAATATATTTTATGAACAACCCAGACAGCGATTATTATTTATGATTCTTGGTACATTTGCCTCTCTTTAAAACAGAAATACAGTACACAAGATGACCCCAAGAGTATGACTTAATCCAGATACAAAAATGAGATGATTTCATCATTATTTGTTTAAAAATAAGGTTTCTACTAGATACTGTATACTGTAAGGGTTTCCAATCTCATAATTAGAGAATGATAATGAATATAACTCCACAAATTAACACATAGCTTCACATTTTTTCTTTGGGGTGTGCTCACTACTGGCAAATTACACAAGATATTAAAATACCAGAGAAAAAAAACAGCTTGGAAGACTAGCATGTATAATGTTCTCTAATGTCACTTCATTCACTTCAAGAATGGAAGGAACATACAGAACAGGCTTACTGTCTCCAGAATTTCATGTTTTAATACTACAGTAGGAACATCTTTAATGCTGTGACTTTTGTTGCTTGGCTCTCTCAGTAGAACATTTAAGGTAATAAAGAGAAAAGGGCAATGACTTAAAGGGTGGAGAAGCCAAATTCTCCCACACACAGCCAGGTGGAATGTGACAAATATATTAGTGTATATTAGTGTAAATATGAGATAGTGTATAACAATAATAAAATTTAAACTTATTGGACTAGATTTATTTTGTTTGGTTTTGTCTTTCCTTTTATGGATGGATATCAATGCAGAATTCAATGAGTTTTTACAAAAGTCAATTAAGTATAATACCGAACTGAGTGGATTTCTTAAATTCATGTGGTTCTAATAACCATAACACTTCTGCTTCATCTATCCTAATATTATTTAATATAGTGCTTTATCTTTGGCCACCCTGCGGCTCCCTATCAGTTTGTTCATTGGTAAACATCTGAGTGAAATATTTATTTAATGCATTACAGTAGCTACTGTATTCCCATGATTTTATATATGCATATTTAATTTCCATTTACTGCTCTTTTTGCTGTTGTAATACTGAAAATATTTAATATGTAATACTAAAATAATACTAATAAATGTTATCAATTTGTTTATTTTTATGTTTTATATAGTAAGTCTAGAATAAGACTTGAAAGAAGCAACTCTGAAAACAAATCCAAAGTGCAGCATTGAGTGGACAGAAACAGTCCAAGATTTATGTGAAAGATTAAGTAAACTGAGGCAAGGCAAAATTAATTTCAGAAGAATGACACCTCTGTATTAAAACCTCTTTGAATCTGGCAGTACACTCTTCCATTAAGATGTACTGTCACCGTGTGTAATTACCACACAGCAGCAATGGTAATAGGAAATGTCTAATATGAAAAGATGCGTGACTGCACAAGCTATCAAGTTAGCAGTTTTGATTAAAAAAAGAATAATGCAGAGGAGGCACCATGCAAAGGAAGTAGTGAAGAAGAAACCATGTAGCTACAAGTGAGAGCTCTTTGAAATATCCGCCTACATGTGTGATATGTAACAAGACCTTCTCCTTCAATGGTAACTTTTTTTTAGATAGCTTCAGTGGCATTATGGCTTCCAAGCCTTGAAAGAGAAAAAAAGGCAACATGGGGGTTTGACAACTGTCTGTGTATGGGAGTGCCAGTAAATTGCTTGTAAGTACAGAAATGTCACAGAAGCTTTCTCTGGATTGGCAACACCCTCAGAGAATAACACAGAAGGTTCCGAGACCTCAGTCTTTCCACTTCGTTAGTAGCCAGCATCTTGTTATTAAAGACACATTGGGACATTGAGCAGCTCGGGCTAATCAGCCCTGAAATGGACAGACTGCAGCTTTGTGAGTGATTCTTGAGAGCCCTTCACGGTTAGCACTGTGCCCTGTTACTGTTATTTATTGTGATTAATATGATTGAGGAATTTTGCTCAAGACAACTCTTTCAAAGACATAGTATGTGCCGACCTACTGGGAAGAACAGTCCATATTGTATATGTTGTTTGAAACTTTCTTAAATAAGAGCATGAGGGAAAATCAGGTCATAACAAAAGTCAGAAGAACAAAGTCTGAGTATACTCTGATTTCGTTTTCAATCCAGGCCCTCCCCTACGTCTTGCCACCTCCAAAGTACTACACCCCACTGATTTTCTGAAGACACTTTAAACGTTCAGCCCCACTGCTACAAGATTTTGGTATCAACTAGTCATTGGCACAACTTGACCTCCAAAATGTCATATTCAGGTTCTAGATCACAACTACATTTAATGAATGATTAATATATTCTTGAGGATATATCGATTATACAGAGCTGAAAAGGAGCCATTTTCATAAAGCTGATAATATTTAAAGACTGTAACTAGAAAAACAGTGAGGTGTTATCATATTTAAGGCGTTTTATATTTTCTTTGTATAGTTTTAAACTCTAACGGTCTTGTGTGACACAGTTGTGACCCAACAAAGTGCCATGGATATGATTAGTTGATTTAATGTATTCTCTTTCTAAGGTTACCCTTTCAAAGGACTTATAAAGACAATAATCAATCCATTTGCAGTCCTCTTTTCAAGGAGAGAGCTTTGGCAGATACAAATGAGAAATCCATCCATTTTCTAAATACTTCATCCAATTCAGGCCCAGTTCATGCCCAAGTGGAGCTAGAACCTATGCCAGCAAGCAAAGGGCACAAAACAGGTTACATCCTGGTGCCAGTCCATCACAGGGCACACAAAACCACAAGTATACTCACACCAGGGTCAATTTTCCCAGAAACCAAGTAACGTACTAGCATATTTTTGCACTGTAGGAAGAAAGTGGAGCACCCAGAGGAAAGCCATGTAAACACAGGCAGAAAATACAAATGCCGGTACATAGAATCCCAAGTCCAGAATTGAACCTAGGGCTCCAGTGCTGCAAGACAGCAGTGCCGACCACTTCAGCACTGGCACATTTACAGTACACCCGTAAATACAGTGATGGTAGGTTGTCCGTGGATGACGGTTGAACTTGATGTGGAAAAGCCGTTACACTGGGGCAGTCCCAATCTCTCGACCTCAGAAGCCTGGTTCCAGAGGTACGAGTAATCGTCACGACTGGAGACTTCCTTGGTTTCAGTGGATGGTCATGACGCCTTTCTGTGCCTTGTCATGCCCTTCGCTTCCCATGGAGCATTGCAACAGTATAGTGTCCCATCACTATACTGAGGCATTAGGATCCATACAGACCGCAGGGTGAGAACCCCCTGCTGGCTCCACTAACACCTCATCCAGCAGCAACCTTAGATTTCCCCAGGACGTCTCCTATCCAGGTACTGACCAGGCTCACACCTGCTTAGCTGCAGTGGGTTGCTAGTTGTGATATGGTGATATGATATGGGTGATATGGCTGCTGGCCATACATACAGTAATATTTTGTTAAATGAAAGCCCAAAGGGACAGTACAAAAACCATCAGAGATCCATGGCTTCTTATGTGTTCTTATCACCGTAAAGAGTTTGTGACGTCATTATGTTAAGGGACAGGTACATCAATTGTGACCAAGGTACATCCAGTTTAACAGTCACATGTCAAAGTAAATTCAAGAACTGTATTATAAATTCTCTGACATTTAGGTTCTATCCCGTTGAGTATTCTGTATTCTGACAAAATGTAGTCATTCACACAGAAATAAAGCAATTTACTTTAAAATGCTAACCCTACTCTTGTCAGAAGGGCTATTACATGCAGCTTGAAGAGGAGTGATTTTCAATCAGGGTCACAATTAATTGTGCACTTCAAAATATATTAAGCTATGTGCCAAACAGTTTAAATGTTAACATTTCATATATTTGAATACTATGTCTGTAAAAGTTGCTGTAATAGCAACATCAATAATGATAATATAGCAATATCTTACTAAACAAAAGAGATTTTCAGCCCTTATTGTTGATTGCTATTCAAGCCTTTTTTAACTGACTGCAGTTTAACTGTTCTTTTATTTTGGACTTTACGTTCACATTTTGTTGACATTCTTATAGACTGCAATAAATAAAACAACATGCATTGCTTGCTTAGAGTACTCTAGATTATCCATCAGTTTTTGGTTTTATGGATGGGTATTAAAATTTACCATTTTTTTTCAGCTGACAGATTTCAAGCAAATGTTTTATTATGAAGTACTAAAAATGTATCAAACATTAGAATTGGCATCTGAACTGCAGTGACAGCATTTAATTAGTCGTTACTACTTTGATAAGCATTCACTATAGTTTCTCCAGTTCAGATCTCAAAGAATCCTCACCAGCTCTGTGCTCACATCAAGGATTCATGTTGCTACCATGACAACAGGTCAGTCACTGTGCCTCGCACCACATTCTGCTCCTTTTAACATGAGTACACGTTTTTAATGAGATTCAGCTGGGAATTACATTTTAACAGTTAATAAGTGAAATTGCAAATAAAGGGAAATTAAAAAAAAATATCATGCTACTCCTTATATCCACATTGAATTGTCAGCAAGAAGTTTAAAACATGGGCTACAAGTCAAAATTTTTTGGATTTATAAATAAAACATTGGACAAAGAGGTGGATGTTAGTGTTGGTTTTATGGGTGTTTTTCAGTATTATAAATAGGGTTTACTTCCATGGTAATTTCATTATCATGAAATACTGTTGCAGCCATCACTTTTTATTAATTTGCATTCACAATTCTTATTTGATTCATAATCCATTGCAATTCTGATTGCAGTAAATTACTTGTGCTACCATAAAAATATCACACACCCAATTGCTGACAGGAGTAATGGCAGTCATTCTGTGGCCAAGGTTTATTAATCTGATTTTAATGTACAGTAT